CCCCCCCCCCCGCCGCGCTCGGGGCCGCCCATTGCGGGCGGGGGGAGAGCCCCTCAGGGGCGGTGGGGAGGCGACGCTGCAGGGCTGCTGGCCCTGAGAGGAAAAGTACAAAAAAGGGAAAAAAACCCACCTTTTTTTTCCTAGTGAGCGTCGTTTTCAGGAACTACAGTGTGGCCGCAGGCACGACAGAGGCTCTTTTTTCTTCAAAAGCACCCGTCTGTTAACACATAAATTGTTCTTCCTTGATAAGGCTCAAATAAAGGTTCCTCCCTGAGGTGGGGCGACATGAAGCCGCCGGGATCCTGCAGCGTCCATCGGGGTCTGTGTTGGCTTCAAACAGATTTCAAAACTTTCATTACAACATTTTTTGAAAAGAGACCATCTCTTTTACCACTACCTATACATTCTCCCTTTTCAGTGTTACAGAGCAGTCCCTTAACACGTGATCCTGAAAACGTTTTTCAGTGTATCGCTCTTGCTACTGATAATTTTTTTACTTCTAACTACATGTGTACAGGGGAGAAGGGAAACCACAATTTTCTCCTTGTTTTTCTTTCTCCGGCCAGGTGATGTGGACAGATTGATGAGACCGAGAAATGCTGAATTTAAACCCAACAGTGTTGCTGCCTTGGGTAGACACAACCTCTTTTGCTGGAGACCCCCCGGCATCCCTTGTAAGCGTTGTCCCAAGCCTGTAAGCCCTCCAGACTCCCAACGGAGTCGGTGGAGGAGCCAAGGAGAAAGCTTAGCACCAAAGGAATCCACACTAATATCCTGCAGTAGGTAACACAAAAAAATACATTTGAGAGTAATGGCTGCCCCAGCTCCTTCTGCCACAGGTGTATTACATTTGTCGTGGGCATCAATGTGCATTTGGGACAACCCCTATTCACAGCCCTGCTGGTTTTTTTTCATGATGTCTTGCATATAGGCTTAATATAGAAAGCTAGAAATATTTCCAGAACTTGTTTTTTCTTACATATTCCAAGAATAAAATTCTCTTGCATCTTTTCTAACATAGAGGTAAAATGTGGCCAAAACCAACCCTCAGTTTGAATAAAAAAGGAAGAAAGAAAAACTTCAGATCATAAAATTCAGCTCCCAGAACATAGTTTCCATACTTAGTAAAATGCAATTGCTGTTGATTAGGAAAGAATGATGCCTATACCCTTGATGAGGCTGGGAAGAAATGCCCAGTGATGACAGCATTCAAGCTGGGTTTAAGAGAAAGTTCTGGATGAGCTTCTACACCAGCTTCATGTGAACTCCAGCAGCTCACTACCCCACCATTTCACAGCATGTTTTTTATCAGAGCTGGTCCTTACCTGCCCTCTCTATTTTCCCCCAGTGTGTAACATCACCCTAAAGGTGTGTAACCCCTCAGAGAGGGACCTAAAATACCTCCCACCTGCCAAACCTCCTGTTTCAGCCTTCCTCTCCTGGGTGCACACAGCTCTTCCTCATAGCTCCATGTGCTCTATCTGGCTTTGATGGAGCTTTGATCCTTTCAAACATCAGGGAAGAAAGCAAATTAGTGCTTTTCCAAACTATCCATTTACCTCAGCTGAGTAAATTAGATTCAGGCAGACAATTTATTCTCCACCTGACAAGCTGGGGAGATGGCTGAAATAATTTTCTCTTGCAGAATGGATCTGCTGGAGAACCCTCACAGGGGGCTAGGCTGCTCAACTTGGCTCCCCCGGGCTAAGGGAGATGTCTCTGCAATATGCTGTGTTTTTTATATGGCACGGTTTTGCATTGAAAATGGATTTGCCAGCTCTGGAACTTAATCACAGCATCCCATGCTGAACTTGCTTAGGTCCATGGGTTTGCTGGGATTTTGTTCCTATTTGCAAGAAAAAGGGCAATTGTTATTGTATTTCTCATATTCACCTACTCCAATGTGGAAGCAGAGGTGGATTCTAGACCAGGTTGCTCAAAACCCCATCCAGCTTGGCTTTGAACACCTCCAGGAATGGGGCATCCGCAACCTCCATCTAGTGGGAGGTGTCCCTGTCCAGGGCAGAGGGGTTGCAACTAGATGGCCTTTAAGGTCCCTTCCAACCCAAACCATTCTGTGATTCTATGATTCTCCTCCCAGAGAAACACAATTTGCATTTATATCTGTCTGTTTGCACAATGGTTGAGTGTAAACCAGAATCCATCTCCGCTTCCACATCAGAGGAGGTGAATATGATGCGCCTCTGGAAAAGCACTCTGTAAGGTTTCCTGCGAAGTAGCAAATCAGTGGAAAAGGTAGGTGAAAAGAGGGGATTATCAGCCAGCAAATCTGCAGATTTCCTTGGGATGGCTAGTATAAATAAAGACTATGAACTAGGATTTAAATAGGTGCTTCTCACCTCAGTTTTATCTCTATATTCCAAACTTCAGATGAAAAATGCATGTCCTGATTATCCAGTTGCCATAGAGGCATTACAAACAATTTAATTATTTAACAAAGAAGGGAGAAGAATTATTAGACAGAAGCTCTAATGGAAAATTAAGTATTAATAGATAAATATTGAATATCAAAGTTGGTTAGTGTTTGATAAGTAAACAATCCTACAATCAGAATAATGCAAAGCAAAGTAATTTCTTTTCTTTACTCCTAAAGTTACAATTAAAAGTCTTTCAAGATTGCATGTGGTTGGTCTAGATGATCTTATAGGTCCCTTCCAACCTAGGCAATTCTATGATTCTATGCATGAGCAAATTCTGATGTTTCATTTCTGGTTTAGATTACAGACTTGAAAGAAATTGCAGCTGTGACAAATTTACCGTGAATACACTGAGTAGGAACGAAGGCAGACACACACAGCCAAGTGCAACACTACATTGTTTAATTAAACAAACACCTCGTTTCAGGATATGTGGATTCTTGTTAATAATTCTCTGTAGTCTGCTGCTGCTCTTAGGTTTCCCAGCCCACGGTGTCTGTACGGCTATGCTGACATCTGCTGCGCTGTACATCAAGCAATGATTTGCACAGGTGAGGATTTTCCAGGTTTTGTTTTGCATCCAGCTTCTTTCAAATACTCAGCCTGCACAGGAGTACAATGGGAGGGTCACAAAATATTAGCCTTTTCATTCACACCATTTGTGCTTAAATCCAAACATCTTCTCTCCGAGACTCCCAGGCAACCATTGCCTATTTCAGAAAATGCCCCACATTCAGAACTACCTTCAGGAGCAAAGCTCCCTCAATTCCACAAATGCCAGCGAGAGCAGTGGCTTTCAGGGGAAGCTGTTACAATATGAATGGAATAATAAAATCTTCCTTGAGCCAAAGGAAAAGAGAGAATGACTTGGCACCCCACCGAGATGATGCAGCAATTGCCAGTGTGGTTTCTTCAGACTACTGTAATGACACTGTCTGGCTGCCTCTCAGACCCCCCTTTCAACAATTTGTTTAACCCTTTGACCAATTTCAACCAAACTCCACGGGAAAGCAGAGCTCTTCAAGAAATGAAAGTTTCTACAAGCTTAGTGGGGACAGGGGCAAGGAAGGCTGAAAGGTTTGCTCTTTGCAAGGGAAATGATGCTGTGTGAGCGTGGCAGCCAGCACAGGCAAGCCCAGCACTGGGCAGGAGAGGCGTCCCGTGGGGTTAGAGCAAATGCTGCTGCTTGCCCGACTCCTGTTCCGGGGATGTGGGGAGACATGAGGGTGGTGTGTAGGGAAACAGAGAGCATTGCAGTGCTAAGGAGAACATATGAGATGAGCTGGAGTCACAGTGGTCAGAAGGAAGCCAGATTCCTTCATTGTGCTGCTCAGCTGACGACTTGCTCAATGCCATAGTTGGATTTTCACAGGTAATGAGCCAGATGTTTTATGGCCATAGTCATTGACTTTACTGGTAGATCTGGAGCACACACACCCTTAGAAGATTAAAGAGCGGACCTTAAGTTTTGGGCAGCAACTCATCATATTTGACCCGTCTGGGGTCCTGGGTGATGGTAAATTGGAAAAGATGGTAAAAGATGTTTTGAGAAACTTTGCCGAGCTGAGGACTGCAGTGCTTTGAGAAAGAGCACTAGTGTGTGGTGCAAACTGTGGCTGGTTTTTGAGGCTATATTCATTATTGTGCTACAAGTGAACTTGGCAAGCGAGGGTTTGGAGCACCTGTCCTGGCAGCTGGGAGCCCACACCCAGGTTAAGCACACAGCCCCTTTGCAATAGTTTTGCCACAGAAACAAAACCTGGAAAAACAAGGAGTGTTCTGCTTCTAGAGAAGGGGACTGCTGAGGAACTGTCTATGGGGAGCCCAGGATGGCTGGAATCTACATCCGGCCAACGAGGTATGACACTGGTCCAAACACAATGACATCTTGCAACCTATAGCACTGGGACAACATGCAGAAAGGCCGTTTCTGTGGGTGTCGGATGAGAGGGTGAAGCCCGGGGAGCATTTAGAGTCCTCTTTGGAAGGAGTGAGAAGACAAGATCCCCTGTTTGCCCTGTCTCTGGTGCATACCCCAGGCTGAAGGTCATCTTCAGCTCTGGCAGCTGCGCTCGCCGGGGCTGGGTGGGAGGTGCGGGTAGCCGGCTCTCCTGTAGCAGGCTCCGCCAGCCTCCTGATTTCTGGCTCTGGGGGATGTGTGCTGGCTGCAGGAGGCATGTGCAGAGCTGTCGGGAGCAGAAGCAGTGCAGGCAGCCCGCATCCACATTCCTCCAACCCTGTTTCTCAGCAGGACACTTTTTCCAGCGCTGTGTTTCCCCTTGATTGATTACCTTGGCCATTGCGGGGCTGACATCTTACACCTGCTTGGTCCTCCTCTCATGGGAGCATGAGGAATGATCATTCCCCAGCGACACCCGTCGATAACGGTGAATAACAGCCGGGAAGGGAGGCAGACGATAGTAGGAACACGCTCAACAGAGGTGCTGTTATTCTTGGGACAGCAGGCTTCTGCAGAGGAGGAGGAGGAGAGCTTGGAGGGTGGTCAGGGGAGTCCTGTCATTGCTGATGCTCTGTTGGGCTCAGCAGCTGGAGAGAAACATTGGCTAAGGATGGTCAAAGCTGGGAAGGAAAAAAAGAGAGGAGGGAAAGGGATGAAGTGAAAGGAGCGAAGAGCCACGCTGGAGAGCCTACAGACAGCCTGGTGACGTCTAGTGTGCAAGGGGTGAAGGAAACAGACTGTGATTGACTATGTGGACCATCTGGGTGATCACCTTCTGGATTTCAGCTGTCCTGGTAGGTGCTCAGAGCTATCTATTCCCACTTGCATGGAATCACATGTTGTCTGAGTGAGTGTACCTCTGTGCCATGAAGTCATGGTGTCTTTGTTTAAAAAGGTCTGTGTAGCAGTTGGGATTTTTTTTTTTTTTTTAATTGTTGCTTCTGCTGCTTCCTGCACTAATTGACGGTGGCCAGATGGTTAGATGGTGGATGCCTCAGTTTCCCCACCTATATAAAGACAGCAGCATGCCTCACTTTCCCCATCTGTGTAAAGACAGCCTTGTTATTAACTTGCTTTGGTAAACAGGGCAGGTTCTGCGATGAAGGAGAAAAGACTTGATGCCATTTAGAGAAGCTTTGCTGAGTTACACCAGCAAGCAATCCCCTAAGGGGCAATGCCCACCATTACCAAAGCCTCCTTTGATTCAGATTGAAGGAATGCATAGCAATGTTTGACTCGCAAAGTTTGGTTTCTCTCTTTTTGTTTTATCACTTTATTGGGTATTTATGTGGCAGATTGTTACTGCTGAGCTCCAGGTGCTCAGCCTGGATGGGAAGGACAGCTGAACTTGGGCTGTGATCTCCGGGTGCTGCTCAGCTTGCTCAGCTTTTGAAAGCATACAAAACCAAGGCTGAAATATGTCCAGCTTGGGTGTGAGAAGCTGGGAAAGGATCAAACTCTCGGCAAATGTAAAAAATCACTGTCTCACTGCAACTGATGGAAAAATCAGTCTATTTGTCCCAGCAGGGGGTTTGGTTCAAACTCTGAGAAAACCTGAGCTCTGCATAGATATTTTAATTGCAGACTGAATGCAATCTGCGAACTTTTTTGCCTTTTGATCATTTTCCACAGTAAAAATAGCGACTGTGATGGTTTTATTGTAATTTTGGTTTCTTATTCTTAGGTACTACTTAAGGGACTCTAAAGAGATGCCATTGCTCAGGGTGCCACTGAGAGCACCTCCTTCGCTTGGTCTTTTTCTATCCCTTCAAAATACCTATTTTGATTTTGCCAGACATCTTTTGTTCTCCTTTAAGTCCTCTCAGTAAACTAAACCCGCTTACTTTCAAATTAAATGGCTGTGAATTCTGTGGCTGCAAATCTTACCTATATTAAATAGCATTTAGGTCCATTCCTTTCACAGGTTCAAAACTGTAGTTGGCTGTTGCTATCAATATCACAAACTGCAGCTTTCTGCCCGTTCGGGACATCTAGTTAGCACAGCTGTTTCTGATTGGAATGGTTTTGCTATCTTAGGTGGTCTTTTAACAAAATATGAGGATGTCTTGCCCTGTCATCAAAATCTGACAGCCTGGGAGCTGTTTGGTAAACAGGGCAGGTTCTGTGATGAAGGAGAAAAGACTTGATGCCATTTAGAGAAGCTTTGCTGAGTTACACCAGCAAGCAATCCCCTAAGGGGCAATGCCCACCATTACCAAAGCCTCCTTTGATTCAGATTGAAGGAATCAGACCAGTGAACTGGTCAGGAAGGGACGAAGAAACCGCATGGAGAGAAGCCCATTTTCCCCCTCGATTCCGAGGCGCAGGGGCAGGCTGTTTGCTCCCAGTTGGGGATGGTAAACAGGAGTGAGACTGAGTGCAGCCGGCAGCAGAATGGGGTTATCTGGCCATGGGAATTGGGATCTCGAGTCCTCTCAGCAAACAGCTGTGCCAGACCTGCCACAGCCCCGCTCGCTCCCAGCCTCGGATGCCAGCGTTGGCAAAGACCGACCGAGGGACAGCGTTTGTGGAAAGCAAGGTCTTCAAACCAGCACCCCGAGGCTCCCTGCTTTCTCTGGGTTTAAAATCCTGCTACCTCCACCTCTATTACCAGCCAGTGGTATCTATCTGATCGCAAGAATAGGGTGGACATCACTGGGCAGGGTAATTAACTACACCATGTTCCTGCTTGAGCAACGCATTTTATGTAAGAAAATAGCACTGTATCAGATCATCAGTGTGGTCTTCGCAGCTGAATGTGCTAAAAGAGTGTGGCCTCGTTCTAGCCATAAAGAAATAATGTAGTCTTTAAATCTCTTTCTGGAATAAAAGATTTCTTAAGGACCTACATTTCTTAAAAGGAAGCAGTGCCCACAAGATGTATAGGCTTCTTTAAGATGAACAGTTTTCCTGTTTCTAAGATTACTACAATGTGATTGCTAGCATTTATTTTGATGTATGTTCAGTACCATCTTGAACAACCCGCATGCTGACCAAACATGTTGGCTGCTTCAAATGCTCAGCACTGGTGGTGTTTTTTAATGTATTTTCAAGGCAACTTCTGGACAGAGTTCTGTCTGTTCTACAGCAGAACTGTTCTGGACAGAGTTCTACAACTTCTGCTTCTGGCAGAAGCATGTTGTAGGTCTTAACTGTCACATTTGTACTTGTGAACTCTGAAAATGTACTAAATTGCTCTATTGTTGGTAATCAAATAGATAACAACAGAGAGTGGTAAATAACGAACATTTAACGAATGTATCAATATTTAGAAATTGTCAAATTCAGGCTTCAATTACATTTCTCTAGACATGTTACTCCAGTCAGACATTCCTATGTTATTCAAAGACTAAATGGATGTAAAAAAAAAAAATTTTATATGGATTAAAAGTGCACTTAAATCCTGGCATCAGAGGATTGTTTATTTTATCTGAATTCTTTGCATGTGTGGTTCCAGAAAATTCATTACAACATACAGAACCAAATTGTTCATATTTTATTTATTTCGTGACGCACGAAGACAAGGGAGAAAGATGCTGAAGTTAAACACAACACACCAATTAGATGAGGCACGATACACTGCTGAAAAGACTGAACTTTGTTCAGAAATACAATACCCACAATACTTCCAGCCGAAATGAGTGGGAGTATAGTCGCTCATGTCTGTTAGGCTAAAATTTAATTGTAGAAAAGTAATAGTTTTCATTACAAGGTATTCAGTGATTATTGTCTCTCCTAAATCTAATCTGAAAATGATCAGCAATGCTAGGAGTTTGATTAGATTGAATAGTAATATGATGCTGCTGGGTTAACTTTTCCTACAGAAAGTACATTAAATAAAAATCTATCATCTGCTGCTTCTCAAATAATACAACCTGATGACTTGCTTTTAATATTTTAAGTATGTGTGTGTATATACATATGCATCCATATATATGTACATATAAGTTCCATAGTGGGAATTTATAAAGATTTTTGGGTTTGTTTGTGAGGAGAAAAATTATCTACATTGTTATAATGGGAACCCACTTATATTCAGGTAGGGTTTTTTGTCAAAAATAATAGAAACTGGTAAAATAATAGAAATTATAAAAGTACTTTTTTACTGCAAGACATAACAACTGGGACCTTGTCCTACAAATAATTTGCAATAACATTTAATACATGCCATTTTAATGGTCGGTAGCTGTTTTGTACATTCCTTTTGGTCCAGCTACACGTAACATAACACCACCCATTTAATTGTTACATCAGGATTGAATTAAGACTAACATTTCCAAGCTGTTTTGTCAGAAAGGAGGATGGGGCAAGATAGGAAGATGAAAAAGATCACCTTAGGATAAATTACCATCTTGGTTCTTGCAAAAATCTGGGTGTGATTCTGGTTTCAGGTTGGCGCCTGCAGCTTCCTGATCAGTAGCAGTGAAACAGGCTTGGATGGTCTGCACCCAGTGGACATGTTTGGATCACTTGTGCCCAGGAAAATGAGCTGCCAGGTCTATGGTTTAACGCTGCCAGGGGCGAGTAATTAATTCTCTGTTGCTCTAGGAGAGTCCAGCAGTGCCCTGGATGTTTCTGCAGTCTTTTGGAAGAGCATCCTGCTCATGTACTTAATTTAGCAGGATAACACATTAATTTTTCTCAATAGCAGTAATGTCAGCAAAAAAGAGAAGGCAGCAAGTCTGTGCTTGCCTGCTGCTACTATAAAAAAGCAGACTTAATTAGGAAAATTGACTGTATTCTAAGGAAATTGACTGTATTTCAAGGCTATATTGCCCACAATCAATTGATGGGGTTGCGTGGGGATTATGAGCATGAGAAAGGTAAATCCTATTGAGGGGATGTAAGTTTTAAGAGGAAAAGTGATTCCACTGCTTTTAAAATTTGCAGGTCAGAGCTGTCCCACCTGTCTGTGATCTCTTGAGTGTCCTGAAAAAGGAGAAAGAAAAATGTGCAGAGACTCTCTCCCTGGAGGCAAAGAACAGAACACTTGAAAATGGTCTGCTCCTGAGCTCAGGTAAAGGCTGAATCAATGTGCAGGATAAAAACCGTTTTCAGATGAGCTGGGTGGCCTCAAAATCAGATAACCCCACATTCATTCCCATAGGAGGCATGTGTCTTGTGTGCATCTCTCTTTTAGGAATAGAAAAACAGGTAAGATCTGTTATAAGGCTCTGAGTGTTGGATTTTGACCTTGTTGTGACAGCCAGAGTCGCAGGAGCCTTCTAACTCAGCTGCTCAACTGCAGTCCTCGTAACTAGGGAGTGCATCAGCAACGAAATCTTGCAAATTGCAGAGGATTTGGAATTCTTCTCAACTTGGACAAGGATATTTTTATAAAGTCAACCCAGTAAGTGCAAATTTACTTAACTATGTTGCCTTCAAAAGCAATCAGTACCAGCAGCCAACAGGTAAATCACGTGGCTTGAAGGTTCTTGCTGCTTCCTCCTTGCTCTAAATTAGTCATGTAACAGAGCTCTTGCATTTTCAGGGAGGATTTATCATCATCTAGAGGAGTATTTTTTGGCCTAGGAACAGCTTGTAGTACTGAGTCTTCATCATGTAGACAGCTTTCCTTTCACAGCTGAGCAAGTGTGTTCACGTGCAAGGGATCTCAGAGAGGTAACTGCAAGCAATTACAGAAGCTTGCCTAAGAACTGAGGGTTTGTTCCCCCAGGCAGCAGTCGGGTCAGCATCTCACAGACTACATTGGATAAAGGCAACAGGTGTGACTATTTTTGTGTGTGATGAGCCATCACCACAAAGAATGGGTCAGTATCATTCACAGCATCTCACTGACTGAACTGTTTCTGGGTGACTTGTGGACTGTGACATGACAAGGTCCTCACCAGTGTGGAAAGTGAAGGAGCTCCTGTGAGATGTGCAGGGTAGAGGGTGTCCTGGCTGGAGATAAGTTACCATGTTGAACAAGAGTTGAGGCTTTTTCTTAGTTTCAAAGCCTTCAACACTCTAGCAGAGAGTGATGGAGACACAGAACTGTTTCAGTATGACCTGGCACAAGGGCAGGACTCAGAGGGAAGATCTATTGCCTGGTTTCTTAGCATGCCAAGCATTTTTCTTTGTCTTTGTTTTATCCCTGTGAGCCTTGTAGGCTGGTAGGTTTGAGCACAGCTTCAGGGCATTACGCCCACGTAGCGGTGACAGGGTGCCTTATGGCAGGTTGCCAGAGACTCCACAATGCAGATGGGTCTCATTGCATATAAGAAGTTTGATGATAGGAATAAATCAGTATTGTTTGTTTCCTTCCCCGGTGCCCTTCATCAAAGAGGAGGGTGGTTTGACAACCTACCTATTGTTCTGCTTTGACTTTGATCCTGTGACGTTGAGCCCTGCATTTCCTCTGCAGGAAGCTCACCAGAGCTCCGAAGATGCAAACAAGTTAAACTTCACAAGACCGTGCAGGTGGGGATCAGCGCTAGCATTAGCAGGCAATACTGTTTTACAGATGGTCTCATTTTATCTCAGGCAAATAGTAGCTCCTCGGCAGGGACTTAATCTAGTTTTAAGTTGGGTCCAAATCTTAAAAATTCCCCTGTGGCCTTTTGTTACTGGAAATTTTTAAACAGGATAATTCTACCCTCTGTGGCACTCTCCCCAAACCTATAGGTAGAGAAGGTAAAAGTACAGGATCACGTTAAATTTTTGAGAAAGCATTTCCAACAGCTGTTAAATTGCTCTTTTAACTCTGGCAACTCAGATCAAACAAGGCATACTGCCGCGGGCTCAGGGCTACCCATGTAGCAGAAAGTCTTAAGCTGGAAGTGGCCAGGGTGACTATGCCCTTCTCTGTCTCTGTAACTGTGCAAACATGCCTCCTGGCAGTGAAACCCCAGAAAAATAAACAGGAGTAAGATACGTATCTTTCCCCGAGTATTGGTTTCTGAAGAGGGAGCCCAGACATTTCCTTCTGCTAATTTTCACTCGAGGAGGGTTTTTTACCTCAGTAAATTATGGAATAGTGCTTTTATTCTGGAAAATATTTGCTTGTATTCTGCAAACACCTCCAGCCTTTGATTATCTGCATGTCTGAGGTCCATGTGGAGAAAATCCCATACAGGGAATTCAGTCTGGAGAAGAGAGAAACAAAGCTCTGGGTATCCAGTGCATGTTCCTGGTGGATCTTGTAGGGAGGGAGTAAGGTTGCTTTCCAAGCTGTAGGTCGCCCTCCATACCCCCATAGCTCCTGCATCTTCCCCAGAAGCTTTGCCTGGTGCAGGCAGGCAGCGTCAAGTGGAGTGGCATGAAGAGGGGCAAGGCAGGGGACGAGCTTCCACAGTGCTGTCTCTGCTGCGATGCTCATATCCCTGTGGAAATGGTACAAACGCAGGAGAAATGTCTCTCCTGGGTTTTGTTTTCTGCTCCTGGGAGACCATCCCAACAGGTTTTTCTGTGCATCGAGTCTCATTTGGGGGCTTTATACTAGTGGTGTTGGTATAAAGGTTAAATAACCCAAATACTGCGACACAGCTAGGCATAAATATCACCCAAGGTGAAGTTTCATTTGCATTTAAACTATTGCTTTGAAGTAAATGGTTACCAGGTCATATAAACATTGGCAGAAGGGGGACACCAGAGCTGAGTGCCCTGGCTGTTGAAAATTCCAGGCATTTGGACTGCTGTGCAGGAGGAAATCAATACATTTCTGGAAATGAAAATATCTTTGTCAGGCAACTGGAGGCTGGCCCTATGAAGCACAAAGCACTTGAGGAGAGCTCTCAGCACCTCCCTTCACTTTCAGTAAGTGTGCAGGGCGTTCAGCACACACAGGGACCCACCAGACATACGGTGGTACTGGCATGCTCCAGTGGCCTCTTTTTTCCCAAACATATTACCAAACCCACAGAGGAGGATTTACTAAAACTAATGACAGTGAGAGGAGGCAAAAGAGAACCAGCCAGAATGATTTCAGCCTATGTCTGGGGAAAAGCACAATAAGAAAGACCAGAATTACAGTTTCTCTGTGGCACAAGGGGCATCAACTGTAGATCTTCTCTATTATCACTCTGCACTGCAGGCCAAAATCAATCCATGCCAGCTTCAAGCACCTAAGCAAGATGTCTAAGTTGAGTCTGTTCTCCATTGACCATAGGCTCCCTAATGCATCTCTACCAGCCCTGCTAGAAGGGAACACAGCCAAGCTGAGGGTGCAGCTGGAAAAGCCCACCTCAAACACTGACTGTAGGAGGGAATAATGACTTAAAAGAAGCATCTCCTGCACCTACCTGAGGGAAATGGGGTGAACCTGGGAAGTGTTGGTCAGTCCCTGCAACTGACAGAGACCTCAGGTGGCAGAAGATGCAAGGAGGGCAACTGAGCCACAGGGTCATGCCTGCAGAGAGCCCAGCAGGACTCCAGGTTCACTGTCTGCTCTGAGATAGGTCCCCCTACATTCTCAGGGGCCTGGCCTTGGAAAGAAGAACAGTATGGGCAGATTTTGCCTGAATATTGGTGTGTATCCATGTTCTGCCTTGGCCTGTAGATGTGATGACCTTCGCTTTACAGTCCCACAGGAGTGACAGAGCTTGGCAAAGTTTTGCTCTCCTGCTGCAGAAGAGCCATTGAGACCCACAGCCAAGCCCAGTGAGTGGTCTGTTGGCGTTATGCACTCCAGTGCAGCCTTGGCATAATGAAAGAGATGAACAAGAAGAGGAATATTTATGGTGATACCAGGATGACAGTCATACTGTTCCCTTCTGCCCTTCCCCAAGTATCAACTCCTAGTCAAGTTGTATCTTCCTCTGTTTACAAAAGGATTATGTAAGGAAAACATCAGGGTTACTCAAAGTGGAAGCTTTAGGAAGGCTGAAAAGCAAGCTAAAAAATTCACATCCGGTTTCCTTCATCTTTCCAGGGCCATTCAATAGTTACCAGAAGACAGATGGGTAGCCAAGGGCCTGATGCAAAGTTTACAAGGGCCCAAGTTGCTCTTTCTTTGGCTAGTAAAGAATGGTGAAGTCAAGGACGAGAACGGGACAGGCCTGGAGCTTGCTGGGGCTGGTTTGAAGCAAACAGGAGCTGTTCTGCCCTATCCAGGTCTCAACAGGTCTCAGCAGGGCTTGTTCTGTCTCATCCAGCTTGCTTTTCAGAGTACTGAGCATCTCTGTTCCCGTAGTTGCCTTGGTCCTTGGGAGACATTGCATGGTGTTTCGTTGCTTGGAGATGTTTTATAGTGTTTCATTGTTGGGAGACATTTCATGGTGTTTCATCACTGGGAGATGCTGCATGGTGTTTCCTTGTTGCCCCCCCCAGGAACATGTCCTGGAATGTGGGATAACATGAGCTGCTGGCCTTCATCTGCGGTGGGACAGATTGTCAACACTCACTGCCCTAAATTCTTCCAGATGCTCACTGGGAAAAAAGGTAACACTAAAAATATGTTTTTCTTGCCCAGGTGTTTTTTATTTTTATTTTATTTTAAAATGTATTATTTACAAAGATGCCACTGCAAGGTCTGAATCTGAAGTGAAATTGTGTCCCTGCTTCTTTTAAAGATGGATGGTCACTTAGCAGCTCTGTTTCTAGCACTAAGCTAAATGTGGGAAACCCTGGAATTAAAGTAGCAAGGTGTTTTAAGTGTTTATTTTTCTTAGCCAGGTGGAAAAAATGCAGGAAATAACTGCTACCGTGAAAAGCATTTTTTTAACATGGTTTCTTAAGGGAAAATGTGTTCATGTAGGCTCTGTGTTCATGTATTTCTGTTCATCTTTCCCCTTCTAATACCTCTTAGAGCCAGTGGCTGATCTCAGCTGAGCTTGACAGGGACAAAACTTTACACAGTGTTACAGTTCATACAAGTTTTGACAAAGCAGCCACCCAGGTAGGGGGGAAAGATCCCTTTTGTTGCCTCCATCAAGAGGAAATCTGCACTGGGGATTCATCCCGTGGCTGTGACAGGCTCCACAAAAGTGGCACAAATTCATGGGAACTCAGGTTTCATGGCTTGCCAAACAACTTACTCAAAAAGAGATGAGCTCAAGCAATGTTTGTTGTCCTTTCTCTGGGATTTGTAAACTAGAAATGAAGGGAAATCTATTTCCAGTATATTACAGTAATCATGAGCCATTAAGTAGGATCTTTTGCCTGCTTTCTGTTCAGTTGTGCTTTTCAGCGATGCCCAAGAAATGTGCTTACATTTCTCTTTAGCGAGTTAATGATTCAGATCGGAAGAAGGTTTTGCATTCTTCAGTTATAGGACATGGATTAATGAGGTCCAGTACTTACAGAAAAGCAGACAGATTCATTTTATGGAGGGAGGAATGGGAGACAAAGTATTAGATTGTCTAATAAAGATTAGATAAGTCAGAGAAGAAGCACTTAGTGCTCTTTAAATAAAATCAGACATGAGCCATTCAGATTAAAATAAATACTGTACTACTTTCAGTACACACAAACAGTAGCTGCCCATTGAATCCTATAATCTGGTTTAAAGACAGAGGATAAACTATACAAAGACACACATCGCTGAAGAAATCATCCATCTGGCATGTGCTCACAAATCTTTAGCAAAATGATACCGGCCCTTAAATGCATTAAATGAAATGTCTGCTGGTACAGCCACTAGAGGGAACTTCTCCCTGCCTCTCGCCTTTGTACCAATGAGGAAAACAGGAGTTTGTACATCCAAAGGTCATAATTACATCTTAGATGTGCATTGCATTATCTTTGAGATAGTCTAATAGCTTTAAACTTTAGTTGCCCTCCTTATCAAGAAGTTGAGAGCTGAACCACTTCTGATAAGCAAAAATCAGAGTGACATTGCTCGCAACAGAAACCCAAGACACGGTCCATTGGCATTTGCATCTTATTTCGGTCTCTGCATCTGGCATTTTGGGTCGAAGTCAGCAGTATTTTATTCTCTTTCTCATAGCCACATTCTTCCCTGACTTTATACTGTGGTTGGCTTGTGACTCACATATTTATTACTGCTACAGTTGTCCTGTTCGAAGCAATTTTGCAACAAAAGAAAAACAAAGATCTGTTTGGTTGAAAAAAAAAAGCAAAAGTTTTCTCTCCTCACCACTTACAAAGCAGATGGGCAGCCACAAATGCCAAAGGCCCATACATTAAGGGACGCAGATAGCTCTGAGCTCTGACCAGACCCTGATCTCGGTGCTGTTGAGCTTTGTGCTGACATCCAGACTTGCATTTGCAGCCCAGACTGTCTGGCCCCTTCCCACATAACAGACCAGAGAAACAAAATAAGCTGGAAACAAGTAACATAACTGAAATTCACATCCAGACCTGCACATTGTGTCTCAGGCAAGAAACGGGGAAAGGTGTGATGGCTGTGGGGATTCAGAGGCAGAGGAGAAGGCCACGTAGGATAACCCCAGTTCCATGGCCATCCCTTCAGCCAGTGCTCCCCCTTGCCGAGGCAGCTCCAAGGCACCAGCAAACACTGAGCACTGATGGTTAGACAGACTGCAGACCCCGAGTCTGCTCCAAGCAGGGCATGCTGAGGTTTCCCTGCCATGTGTGTCACCCATAAGCAGGTAGGATTGTTAAAATTGTGCTCATGTCCATCAGTAGAAGATGCCCTGCATAATCTCCCATCCTTCACATGTAACACACTTGCATGAACACATCAACGCAGAACGTCACCTCTTCTTGTCTGATGTACTTTGACTTCCTCAGGTGAAAACAAGTCACAGGCATGCTTACAGGTACAAGACTCTGGTCTAAGTACATATATCTTAATAACTGCAGCTGAAGTAGAGAGTTTGCCACCACACTTGCCACCCTTGCTAAGCGCCAAGGCAGGTTGTGGAGAGCTCTTTGGGAAAGCTGTTTCCCTCCTGTTGTGGCTGCACTGGGTAGAAAACAGCATATATAAAAAGCAAGTCTGGCCCTTCCAGTGATGCTAAGCTGGAACGAGATGGTCATAAAAGCATCAGAATAATAATCTGATACTGACACACCCAGAGCTCTTCCTACACGGAGACCTCAGCATGTTGCTGAGCCTTGCAGTTTTACAGAGGTGAGTTCAAATCAAGTGCAGACACGCTGTCAGGTCACCAGAATTAGGCAGAGGTAGCAGGAGACCTGTCTCTGTACTGACAGTCCCAGCAGGGCTGCAGACAGCATAAACCAGAGCCAAGCACTGCTTCATATGCATCTCCCTCCGTTCCCTCAGCACTGCCAGCATGTTTTCCAGGAACTGGATGCCATAGAGTCCCCATGACTAAATGCGTGGGCAAAAGTAAACTTTTATGGTCCCTCCTGGCAAGGCTTCTACTAAGAAAGGCTGCTGATTTCAGGCCCCCTCTGAGTCCTTGCTAGTATTGCCATGACTGCAGCAAAGCCAGGATTTTACTCCATCTTTCTAAAGAGTGGCTCCTACCTAGGAGATGAATGCAATTAGGACAGCAGGCAGTAGATTTACTTCTTTGTAAAAGTTTCTCTTCTCTTCAGCACATAACCTACATGCCTGATAGGGTCATTTTCTTCCAGTGAGGTTGTAAGGTGTGTAGGGCAGGACTTCCCACTTCCACTTTAGTGGGCCAAACAGGAATATGGATGTGTTCAAACCTGTCCTAGTCAAGCATGTGCGACTGGCTGAGGATCCATTTCACTCAGCTTTAGGGGTGTAAAAATCAGACATCCCAGCACAAGTAGGTCAGACAAACTGCCCTCTGAGTATGTCTGTCTGAAAATGAGATGAATTCTGCAAATGCCTCTTTTTCTCCACTGACTAGAAAGACAGCTATGAGGGACACGGTTGGACTCAAGCACTTAGCTTTCAGAAGCCTAACTTAACTTAGGGGAATCTCATCCTAGTCTTTAATTTGCAAGTAAGCAAGGGAATCAACAGTATACAATAATGCCCAGGCCTGGCTGTGAGGAAAAGCCTTTTAGTTTTCATTTATATCTCACCAAAAATCTGTGACCGTCTAAAGTTTTTGTCTTCTCTTCAGACCATGCCAAACCACAGTAAGGCAGTGTGAGTATTCAGGAAAGTATCAGGTTTGCACGGACTATGAATCTGTGATTGAACAAGTCATGTGTTTGCTGATCTTGGAATGCTGGCCAAGAAACACCAGATGTACCGAACAGTATTATTTATGTTGCAATTAATAAAAACACATCCATCACAGTCATCCCTGAGCTGGCAAACAATATCATGACCCACACAAGTACACTGGGCAAGTATCAACATAATTAGCTCAGCTGTGTTTCACCTCCAGCTATGCAGAGTGCACTGCCTGGAGGAAAATACTCTCTTTGCTCTTGGAGCAACCCTACACGTTGGTGACTGACCCCCAAGGGGAGCAAAGATACAACTGGAAATGATCACACCTGATTGATTCTTTCTTTTTTGTTGTTCTTGTTACCACACAGGTTTTGTCTACCGAAACTGTACGAGTGAGGGTTGGTCAGACCCATATCCAAGACCTGATATCGCTTGTGGCTACAATGTCAATGACACCACAAACGAGGCCAGAGTGAGTCTGAGCTCCCGTGACCACAGATCTGCTTGTCAGGGGCCCTGGGGGAGGAACATGTTAAGAAGAGACTGAATGATTTAACTCTGGTGGGGTTATTCTTATAGATGTTTTTCAGCATAAATGCTTCCTCCAAATGATCAGAATGGATTGCTCAGGGTAAAACTTCAGTAGCTGATTTTACAAGGAAATGTATTTGTTAAGTAGGAGGGACTCTTGGTGTGGGCTGATTTCTACCAGACAGTCAAAGGTAAAGATGCGAATGTGTTTCCCTGCAGCGTTCGTATTTCATGACTCTGAAGACCATGTACACCATCGGATACTGCACCTCCCTCGTGACGCTGATGGTAGCATTAGTGGTCCTGGTCTCTTTCAGGTGAGAAGCATCTCTGGTTTCTGTTTGGCCAGGACTTCTGGTCATCTCAGCTGACACAGATCCTTCTGTTGGCTTTCAAGGCAAGTTAAAAGTTGAAGTATTTCTGAAAACCTTCACAGAGATCAGCGACAAAAATGATCTGGGTCTTGTCTCCCAGAAAATGTGATGGCTGCTCCTCACATTGTGCTCTCCTGTCCTTTCCAAAATGTAGCTGGACGTATTTTGTAGACTGGTGTTTGCACCACCTCCTTGCTGAGGTCTTCCCATGACTTCAGTGTCCTGTGGACAGAGTGTCTTTCCCTCTGCTGTTCTTTTCCCTACTTGAGACTGGCAAAACTTTGCTCTACGTGCTGCTACACTGACCTGTGGGAAGGTGTTTCAGATTTACAGCAGTGATCTGACAGTCAGCTTATCTTCACACATCCTTATAGCCTGGAATTTGTACTTGCTGCTGATTCAGTGAAATTAATTTCCCTTGCAGTATTAGGGAGGCACCTCCAGGCAGAAGGAACCACAACTACTTCGCAAACTTGTCTCCAGGCTGCACAGCCTCCGGATCCAGATTATATGGAGATTTAATACAGAAAACACTGCAGGCACAAGTGCACTGTGCAGGCAAATCAAATAAATCCACCCAGGTGTGGATAAACACCTTAGCTTCATGTATTCCAGAAAGGCGGGAGGGAGGCTAGACCAAGCATATTGGCATAAAATCTCAATTCTTCTGGCAACGTTCAGCTTGTTTTAGTACCTGAGTGGAACAGATGTGACTTAAGCTTTTTAAGGTCTTCCCTAGGATATCCCTCTTGGGAAATGCATTAGCCTTCCTTTCACAGACAGAAAAACAGCATTCTTAATTTGTTGGTTTAGCATTAACAAGGATTGAAACCTGCTGTTTACAGCCACGAGCTAACTGCGGTGGCCAGGAATGTAACTTCACAGGATGTCTCTCTCTTTTTGTAACAGAAGACTTCGCTGTACGAGGAACTACATCCACATGCATCTCTTCACATCGTTCATTTTGCGAGCCTTGTCCAATTTCATCAAGGATGCTGTTTTGTTTTCCTCTGAAGACACCAGTTACTGTGAGGCATACACGGTAACCCTCTGCTTTCCACCTTGCTCCATGCCTCAGTTTCTCAGCAGGATCCTAGCAGTAGTTAGCGTGCAGGGAAGGAAATCTCTGTCCCAGCTTTCTATTCAGCATGTTATAGAGGTTATAAGAGAAGAGAGGTATGCCCTGTCCCTTCTCTGTCACTTGATCCCACATTTTGGTTGTTCCTGGCTGAGATTTCCCTGTTTTGGAGTATTCTTTGTGGGTGAGGGAGGCATGAGGAGCTTCCCAGGCTGCGGCATACACACAGAAACCCAGGTGCAGCTCCTCCTGGCTATAGATGCCCTTACAAGTATTGGAGCAGAGGGCATCCAGGTCAGTCTGAAATAGGTACCTGCATTTGTCATCTTGAGTGCGTTGACTAGATGGCCACAGAAGACTCCAGGAGTTCAGCACATCTACCCAGAAATGCCTAAACATGGATGTCTCAAGCTGTGAACACGGGATACACCACCAGGGTGGAGATTACATAGATTTTTAGACCCTGGTAGGTGGGGCTGGCAGGAAAAGTACGAGAACACATTAAATATTGCTGACATACTGCTGTGTGACACCTGCAGTAAGATATGGATTTGCACCCAGAGAGCCTGGAAAAGGAACCTCCCAAATTTTGAATTGTTTTTTCCTTTTTATTGCCAGCAAAATATCTTGAAAACAGGGGAGGCGGGGGGGAATAAAAGGGGTTGGAGGTGAGCACTGGAGACAAAATATAAGAATTAGGGAAGGAAACAAAACAAGGCACTTTGTTTTGGCTTGTTTTTTTTTTTTTTACCCCTCCAGATTTGCTGGATTCTTTCTGCTGAAGAAGAACAGTTTGAGCAAATTTTAACTTGTCCTTATTGACCCTTTTTCTCTATTAGCTCTCCTGTTACTAGTAAGGTAGCAATAGGGAAACTTCTCCAAGTGTGACAGTAACCCAAACCCACGTGTCCATGACACATTTCATGCATTTGTTGATTAATGCATTTACAAGTGCCAGCCATGCTTTCTTGTCATGTGAACGCCTGTCTCAAGGCCACCCATTTAGTCCCCTAATTGCTATAAAATCTCTATTTGCCAAGATTTATTTACAGCTCGTGCTCTGTTAGAAAATAGATACAAAACCCAGGCAGAAGCTAATTACTCTCTCTTTCCTCAGGCTGGGTGTAAGCTCACCATGGTCTTCTTTCAGTATTGCATCATGTCTAACTACAGCTGGCTCCTCGTGGAGGGACTGTACCTCCACACTCTCCTGGTTATTTCTTTCTTCTCGGAAAGGAAGTTTCTCTGGAGGTTCATCGCCTTCGGATGGGGTACTGGTTCTCCTTTCAGTAAGAATAACTGTGGATATATTTTGCTTTTGGGGTGGACTTCTGGAGCAGTAACTAGCTTTTCCAATTGCAGGTGCCCCAACTGTGTTTGTGGCCGCATGGGCGACTGCTAGGCAACTCCATGAAAATATTGGGTAAGTTGCTTGGAAGAGGGGAACATGGCCTGCTGGGGGGAAGCATGTAGCCCTCATGGAGGCTGCTCCACTGGGTTCTGCTTGTTCCTAACCTTTGGAAGCTGAGTAAACTGTCCATCACCCCGCTGAGATGCAAGCCTGTATCCTAGTGTGGGCAGGAGTAGAAGTCCAGCTGAGCAACCTGAGAAAGACCCTCAAATTTCACTCAAGCATTTTCAGGGGTAGGGGGTAGTCTCCAAGTATGAACTCAGCTCATGATGTTTTCAGTATCTCTATTTGACTTTCTGATCAGTGAAACTTTGCTCCTTTCTCTTCTCCCTTTTAAACTTTTGAACAGTGGTTCCACTGTAAGGACAGGATATATTTTTGTACCATGCAGGTGGACAGTTTTCTGTCAGAAATGTTGTACAGCTAAGTGAGAACAGGAAATGAAGGGAATAGGGGCCAATGTTGTACAGCTAAGTGAGAACAGGAAATTAATTTCATAGAAGAAGGGAATAGGGGCTTATCTGACGTGTAAAACAGACTAAACCTCTTGAAAAGGCACCAGTGTTTTCATAACTGACTGCACCTTCTCTTCTATTTTTACAGGTGTTGGGACATTAACACTGATGGCAATACCTGGTGGATCATTAGAGGCCCTGTAGTTTTGTCTATTTTTGTAAGTCTTTTCTGGGACAAGCAGATTCAAACTGTATTTTCAGATATTGTGAAGTCAGAGATCATCTACTCAACGTGCTTTAGAAGTGTGTTAATGAACTGATCTTAGACATGTGCCTGAACTGGTGTGACACATGAATTACTGCTTAAGCAACTTCTGCTCAGCAGGATTTAGTCAGTAACAAATGCCCTGAAGCTAAGTTCACAAGAAAAGCTAGAGTGTCCTCCCAAGAAGCAAGAGCCTGAAGAAGATCAGGTTTCCACATCCTGTTGATTTCATATGAACTTGGCTGGCTTGTGGAAGCTTGTTTTGGACTGTTTCAAGGAGGGCTCTGGAGGAGAAACCAAGTGGCTGTACATTTCCGTACAATCGCCTTTGTGTCTCCCGGTCAATGCCCCTCTCAGCAAAGCCAAAACCAACTTGCCTTACATGACCATTAGCCTTTGTTTTCAGCAATGAAAGCAGCTCAAAGGCTGCATGCACCATATGTTAGTGGACTGCAATCATACTATGATGGCATTGCTCACTGAAATAAGGCATAGGCATTGAAACTCAGTGTGAACCTGCTCAGTACAAGGCAATAGTGCTGTCAAGGACAATTTGGTACATACTCAGCAGCTGTGTTGTGAGCATTTGCTGGTGCTCAGCCTCAGAGCCTTAGGTACCAAGGAGCTGCTTCTTGGACATAATTGTTCTGCCCAACAGAGCTGCTCTGGGGCAAACCACTCGGCAATGATCTATCTGAAGCCCTAGTCCAGAAACATGCAAATTGCTGGTTACTCTCCAGTAACCCACTGACACTGAGTTGGTTGAGGTTTTCATATTGCCAGTAGGAGCCATTACGTTTGCAAAACACAAACTGCGACACTGGCATGCTCTCTTGGAAACCCAAGCAGCAGAGGTGGTGGGTTAAAGTTCTACTCCTGTTTACCACTGCACAATCCTTCACTCCCACAAGACAAGCAGAAGACCACACAAATGATTCAGCATCAATTTAACAAGGCCACAGCATTTATTGTTCTTAACGAAACAACCCTTATGCTCCAGGAGCCACTCAACAATATTTAAATGCCGACAAGGCCCAGGCATTCTGGAAGGCAAAAAGCACAATCTTAATTTATCTTTTGACGGCCACCACCTGCTATCTCCTTCCAAGTTTCCTCAAAATCCTGATCACATCTAGCTTAGCCCGTTAAGGCTGGAGCCGCCTACATGACTCTGCCTCTTTAACCTAAAAGAGGCTTTTCTCAAGCCCATAGCCACAGACAAACAAACAGCCAGTCCTTGAGAATTCAGATCTAATCTCTTTATTCCTCACAGTCCTTAGCAGTTCAAAGGGCAGAAAATCAACACTGATAAAGTCCTTTGTGCTCCTAGGCCAACACTCACTGCTGTGCTGCCCGGGGGCAATCCCTACCAGCAGGAATCCCCTCCATCCCCCCTTCCCCAGTAATTTTCATCAGCAAAAAGTCCTGCTCAGCCTACACCACTCGTGCCTGGCCTAGTGGGTTAAAAATCCCAGAATTCCCAGCTTGAACCTCGTTTTTCCCTCCCAACATCCCCCAGGTTTTCAGTCTTTCCTTCACATTCTCCACCCCTAGCTCCTCCAAGCTCTGCTCCTTTCCTCACCCCTCCCCAGCTCCCCAAACTTCCAGCCCTCTCCGGTCACCCTCAGCAGCCCAGACCACGCAGCCACAATTGCTCCCTCTTCAACCAATAGTTTAAGGAACCCGGGGAGATCCTGGGTCTGTCTCATCCACAGTAGACACACTTCTCTTAGGGAAACCCACCACCTCAGGGCCACAATCACGTACAAGCCACCATGAAGAGGATACACCTCTGTGGTGGTGTTTCCAGGTGCAGGGGAGGGTTAAAGGCCTGCCACGGTGCAGGGTGTTGCAGAAGGGCTGTGGGTGCGTGTTGGGGGGCTGTGTGGGTGCAGGAGGAGAGCAGGGCCACGTCGGGAGCCCCGATGTGAAGGGCAAATAACACCCAAGGTCGCTACACGCTGGCCGAAGGAGAAAGGCACGTTCAGGCTCTGCCTCCCCTGTGACTCCTGCTCTTTGCCTGAGGGTCAAACGAGCAGAAACAGCTATTGCTTCACCTTCGCCCAAACCCGAGCAGCAGATCAGCATTTTTATCTGATATCCACCCTTGGAGAAGGGGGAAAATGCAAAGGGAAGAACTTCAGTGTTGACTCTCTCCTATCCCCACTTTTAACTACTTTGCCTCCATCACCCCAAACCACGCTGTGTCTTTCAGCAGGGAACAAACAGCAGTTTAACAAGTGGTAGCTCCAGTGCTGCCCATTTGCTGGCATCCAAATCAGGGACAGGCTGCACGGGGGCTGTCTGAACCCCACAGCCAGAAGGGACCCTGCTGATGTGCCTGGTCTCCCTGCCCTTTGGTGATCTGCCCGGATAATAAGCCCCCATTGTCCCCATAACCAAAGCTGCACCAAACTGGCAGGGAAAGCAGCCAGCACCCAAGCCCAGGGTGGCTGGGCAGGGTGGTGAGGCAGGGATGGGGACAGGGACATGGACAGGTCAGCCCCAGCCCCTCTATTCCGCCTGCTCAGCCCAAACACCCCAAACTGGGTCTGCTGATACCTGGCAGTGACATAAGTGGTGATGGGCCACCTGGGCATTTGGTTTTGTTGCTTTTTTTTTTCTTTTTTCTTTATTTCATGTCCTTCCTTTTGTTTTTTTTTTTTCAGGTTAATTTCATTCTTTTTGTCAACATTTTAAGAATCTTGATGAGGAAGCTCAGGTCACCTGAAGGACGGAGCAGTGATTTCAATCAATACAAGTATGTCCCTTAAGTCATGACTTTATGCCACATGAGCCCACCCATGCCCCTCTTGCTCCTTCTGCACTGGCTTTTCCCTCTGTTTTCATTCTCAGGAGACTCGCCAAGTCAACTCTTCTCCTCATCCCTCTCTTTGGGGTCCACTACATCATCTTTGCTTTTTTCCCAGAAGATGCAGACAGTGGCACAATGGAAATACAGCTGTTTTTCGAATTGGCTCTTGGATCATTCCAGGTAATACTTAACAAGCTATTATTTCTTTAAAATAAAAATTAAAAAACAAAAAGAGGCATAACATATACCTCTGCAACAGAGTCCCAGTGGCAAAGCCAAACTGTATAATTTCCCTTGAGACACCTCATCTCCACTCAAAAGCTGAAACTGCAGTTCTAATTCCGTGACCATGGTTCTTTTATCTTTTAGGGCTTTGTCGTGGCTGTACTTTATTGTTTTCTTAATGGTGAGGTGAGTTTTGTGTATATAACATTTTCTTTTATTGCTCAAGCATGCCTCATTAATCAGTAGGATACGTTCTCCAATGAATTATACATTTTATCTGAGGGTTTTCTTCCCAGCTACCTAACGTCACTTGTGAAATACCTCCTAGACCTGGCAAGCCTAAATAATTGTGTGCCAGATGCAAACTTCACCTCTGGACTATTGCAGCCTTTTCATAAATCAGATAAAATTATTACTGTCTGGGAACAGAGGGTGGGAGTACCATCCCGCACACGGTCACACTGAGAATCAACTGATTCTGGCGTGTGATGCTACTATCTGTCATCCCATGGCTGTTTTCTTTGCTTGATACTTGGGAAGGAATTTATCAAAAGCTGTATCCAGTCCAAGTTTATTTGGACTCTTATCAGGCAAAGCTTTTGGAAGAGGGACTGTTTCCTTTGTAGTCATACAATAACTCCCAGGCTCCTGGGCTAGAACTTGCTCCCTGAAATGCTGCTGCTGGTGGAGGTGAGGGAAACATTATCCAAACCTGGGAGATCCCAAAGTTATTGGAAGGAAAAAAAAAACCTAAACACATTAGGGTGCCTAAGGTTGGAAGAAAAAGTCATTTTGAAAGGGAAAGGGAGTTTGAAATACTTTGATCCTTTAGCAAGGTTCAGAAAAAGTTGTTTTGAAAAGAAAATCTGCATTTTTTTACCTTAGTGTGCCAAAATGTCCAGTTTTCATAACGAGAATAAAAATCTTGGAAAAATCTAAACCAAACGCTAAGGCCTGCTAAATTCTGTGAACAGTTTCACCTGCAAGTAAACAGAAAAACAAATTAACAGAAAATTGTGTGGCTGCAACAACAGTATCACTAGAAGTGACAAGAAACAGGCCCTAGCCAAACCCCTTAAACTGGGGGTTAAATAAATAAATCCAAACCTTGGCAAAGGTAACCCACTCTCCTTTTCCTGTTATACTGCTCTCTGCAGTGCAGGGCTCCAAGATAAACTAGCTGAACTAAGTATTTTGTGACCTTTCTACCTAGGTTCAGCTGGAAGTTCAGAGAAAATGGAGGCAGTGGCATTTAAGCAAACACTTGCGTCAGCATCTCAGCACCTCAGCAAGTAACGGAAGAAGTGGCTTAACTCAAGAGATGCAGATGGTGAGGTCGAGCCCACCAGGGCACAGGAGAGCAGCCCTCCAAAGATCAAGCATGCTTTAACACCACACACCTGGAGGATACCTCCATGCTCAGATACACATGGTTGAGTCCCATGGACCATGCTGGGAGTCTCGTGTACGTATCTGAAAGTGGGACTTGGCTGTAGATCAATGGTTCTTGAAGCACATCTGTTCATTTATATCCTGTGCAGCACCAGAGTTATTTTGCAAGGCAAAATGGGCCAAAACATTATGCTCTTCCTTGGGTTTCTGGCCACAGCCATTTGTGTTTCTTTCCACACCAATATTTTTCAGCTGCTATTTCTACCTTAAGTGTGACCTTTCATTTTCCCGTGTGGTTCTCCAACACGTTCCAGGCTAAGCCAGGCTGGTGAGTTTTAGATGTTCTCTGTTTCTTCTGCTGTTGAAGCTGGGCGGACATTCAACCTTCATCACACAAAATTACGTGCCATCCTTTAACACAGCCCATGGGTTTCAAATGCAAAAATTAATTCATCGCTAGAATTTACCAAGGTTCAAAGTCTTTCTGCGGTGGCGATGGATGATGGACACTAAGAACATGAAATACAGCTGAGCTCCTGTTTCCTCTCTGACTGTATCTGCTGCTCAGGCATGCTCCAGTGGCAGGTTCAGACGATTTTCTTCCTTTGCCTCTTCTAACAGTGGAGACCTCAGAAATAACAGTGGTCCAATTCGGAGCTTCGTATCTTTTTGAAATAGTAAGAAAGCTATTGTAGCATATTCCAAGGGTGGCCAGGAAAACTTCAGTAAGATGGCTCTTTCCTATCATGTCTGTACCTCTGAGACTTGTCCAGCCAGTCTTTGACGGGAACCAATGAAAGCCCTTGAGGCATTTAAAACTCAATTGAACTGGACAGTACAAAGTGTCTTGTGAAAAACAACAGTATAGAGGCTGGCAAAAATCTCTTTAGAGTCCATGATCCCTCAGCCTGCTGAAATCTGCAAGACTGTGCACTGTAATACACTGTCACAAGGTATCTGAGCTTCTATTACAGTTTTATGTTCTTAAGGATAAAATTGTTAAGCAAGTTTCCCTGGTTTGAGGGGGAAAGGGATAAAACATTTCACCCAACAAATGCAATCAAGCCTCCTACTTGATGTTGTATCTGCGTTTCCACAGCTGGGGCAATTCTTGCCTGGTTTTCTTCAAGGGCAAAGATGTCCGAGCAGAAAGCAAGTGGTGTTTTATCACACTTCTCCCTCCTCCCAATCACTTCCAAGACATCGGCAAAACATTCATGGTATGTCAAATGCTGATCAGGAGGCATTCCCCAACCTCTCTGCCAAAGCTGCTCTGAGGAGCTTTTATTCTCACCAGACTGTCCTGGTAGACTTCTGACACTTTAGCAGAAGGCAAACATGCAGAGAAATGCAAAGGATGCTTTCAAAGTTAAATTACCTGTGCAGAAGCAGGTTTTTGAGTTGAACCTCTTTAAGAAAAAAATAAATAATCAAATATAAAGCTGTCAATTGGCAAACATTATCAGGACTTATTTTTGAACTTGTTTTTCGAAATAGTAAGCAAGTGGAAGGCAGAGCAGAAGCAGGATCAGTCCCGTGACCGCGGGAGAAGTGAAAGCCCCTCCATGCACGTTCAGCTGAAAGACCTCACTTCTTGCTGACTTACCCAAGCCAAGCAGAGCCTCCAACCTTCTCGGGGGTTCATTCTGTCCCAGCACATTTAGCAAGTCAGATACTTCCAAAAAGATACAACCATTAGCCTCATTTTCTTTCTGGCCTACAAATAAGACCAAGAAGAATGAAACAACTTGTATGTTTCCTGTCTGAGAATTAAACATTTACCAGTCAAGCCAAAGCAGCTGTTTGTTTCAAATGCAAGTGCTTTCTTCTGGCATAAATGAAGAAATATAGATTCAGAGATGGAATAACATGTAATTAATTAGATCTGATGCAATTATTGGCTCTCCCACAAGCCAGTGTAAGAGCTTAAGCCCTGCAGTGCATGGTTAGGACTAGCATTTGAAGGCACAAGGTTGGGTGGAGCCCAGGCTGAGCGTGATACCTATTTCATACAGGAGTCCTGGTGAAACAGGGGTGAACCACAGGCTCCAAAACAAAATGTTGCTGCTTTTTGTATTTAAAAAAAAAAAAAGTATTAGCATAAGTAGTTGTTTTACATGGCCATTTTGGTTTTATTTGACTTGCCTGAAATAAAAGAATAACAAACAAAATAAAAGGAAGTATTTCCAGGTTTTGCATGACATGTTTACTTCAGGCATCACGTGCTGGCCTGGTTTGTATGGACTTGAGGCTCCATAAAAACCCTCAGATGTCAGCTGGCCTTCAGAATCCTTGACTTTGTGACCTGGATGTAGAAGGCTGAAACCAAACACCACCATAGTGAGATGGGTTCCCACCTCGCCCACGTTCTGCTCAGGGATGCAAAAGCACCTTCCCTGCTGGGGATCTCTCAAAGTGTACTGAGGAATACTGAAAAAAAGAGCTACTTAGCTCCAGGAGCACTGACATATTTATAACCAGATGAAGAAGAACAGGGAAGTAAATCTCAGCAAGCAACGCAAAAAAAAAAAAAAAAAAAAAAACAAGGGGGGAAGAGAGGGGGGGTCAAAGTGTACTGAGGAATACTGAAAAAAAGAGCTACTTAGCTCCAGGAGCACTGACATATTTATAACCAGATGAAGAAGAACAGGGAAGTAAATCTCAGCAAGCAACGCAAAAAAAAAAAAAAAAAAAAAAAAGAGAAGTGGGGAGATGAAGGGGTGCAGGCCATGCAGAATCCAGTGTCTGTGGCCTGAGACTGCTGACACAAACTCCATATTCACAGTTCACCAACTTCCCTTTCTCTACACTTGCTCCTCGGTATTCCATGTAAAGCAGGTGTTTGTTACCAATAAACAGGGCTTAAGCACCATCTTCCAGACAAGTAGTCATCATTGTTCTGGGACACTGGTGACAGCCTCTGGCTATTCACTCCAGGTCCCCAGAGAAGCCAGTTCCAGCTCTGCAAGCCAGCAGTGCAGGCAGCAGCTCCAGCAGCCAGAAGATCAGCGGTCTGAAAACTGAAGCTGAATTTGAAAGGAAGTGATTAATGGCTTTTTTCTCCCAACACAGCAACGAGGAAGTTCCCAGCGAAACGTCAGAAGCTGAGGAGCAGTATTGTTGTGCAGTGAATAATGACATTGTGCAACACCTCACTGGGCTTCGGGGGAGCTGAACCCAAGTGTTTGAGAAGGGGGTGGTACCAACTGAGAGGGCCCAGAGCCATGTGAAGGTGAGAGGGCCCAGGAATCCAGCCAACACCCCTTACAGGACACCCAACCCCCTGGGGCAGACCTGTCCTTAGCCCAGAAAGGAGGCCCTTCTTCCATTCTTCTGATGTGGATGGGTTAGAGGAGCCATTACCTGCTTACTGTAGCCCCAGCAGAGGGGAAGAGAAGGGCAGTCATCTTCTGTAATCACCTTGCCCTGACTCACAAAAACAAGCAGTGCTCAACCCCCAGAGCAGCTGTCCCTCCAAGCGCAGCTGATGAAGGTACTGCAGAGTTAAAAATCAAAATACCATTAAGAGTCCAGGATACCTTCCTAGTTAGCATGCCCTCTGCCATTATTTCCGTATTCTTGTCCGCAAGCAATGGTTTGTGCACAAGTTTCCAATTAAAGTCAGTAACTGAGCAAGTCTAAACAGCTCATTAACGAGAGGTGATGTTCATTACCCAGCTTTTAGGAGGTATTAAACCATCTGAGACGGGCCAATGACCTCTCCCATCAGAAAGAGAACACCAGGTGCTAATTAACTTACTTGAGATTACATAAACTAATTCAGCAGTGAAGGTGGAAATCTGTTTTCCTGACATTTAATTAAACCTTTTAGTACCATGAGCTCAGAGAAAAAAAAAAAACACAACACACACAAACAACTGTATAAATACGTTTGGACTCAGATACCACTTCTGCAGGCCAAATAAGCAGAGCTGGGGAAAAGAGCAAGGATGCTTCAGAGAGAGGGTGCGGTGTGGGAAAAGGGAGGCGAAGGACACAGGAAAGAGCTCTTTAGCTGGTAAACAGAGCACATGCAACAGCAGGAAATCATTAAGAGCCAACAAGGTTATCTCTAATTCCCACGAAGCAGCACAGCCGACTGCCCTGCTTGTTTTGCAAGGCAAGAAAACGGGGCTGGCTGCTTGGGTTGGTGTGGACAGGGAAGGGGAAGGAGAGGGGAGTGTGCCTCAGCCTCGGCTCCCTTGGTCCCGAGCTCGGCAAAGCACCAAGCAGTCATTTCTTCATCAGTCTCGCACAGAACTGGCACCTGGGAGATGACATAAACCCCACTCATCCTCTTAAATCTGCACCCCAACATCTAAATACAAAAAGAAAGAATTACAGTTATCTTATTTCAAAGAAATTTATTTCTCAAACTTCAGGAATATTGCTTGACGCTTCCACAGGCTTCAGAAAATGAAGAGTTTACCCATTGCTGTACAGGTTGCTGTGTATAAGGATATCTCCGAGACAATCAATCCTGTTTCCTAGTATTTAGCCACCAAAATGCATCTTCTCCCAGCATTAGTAAGTCAAGCAGTGCTACACAAAGCCAGTTGGAAAAAAAGTTACTGTATTTTCCCTAGAGGATCCCCGACCCCCAACAAAAGGCCTCATCTTCAGCTAGCAGAGGGCATCCTAAAACCATTCACAATCGCACCAAGTCTTGGGTGAACTCAACGGCCAATTGTCCACTGCCTCCCTCTAGCCCAAGTGGGAGGCACCAGCCTGAGACTTGGTTTGGCTGTGGCTGCCTTCCCCCAGGGAAGGGGCTGGGGGCACAGCCTCCCACCAGCAGGAAGGGGAGCACACGCCGAATGGATTTCCAGTTTGGGATGTCACCAAGGCAGCACTCGGAAGTTACATCCATGTTTCTAGAGAAGCCGTGGATACCTCGTGTAGGGGAACTGCCCTGCCCGGCACAGGCCCCCCCCCCCCAAACCACCCAACCGATTTTAC